AGGTAAAATTGTTTGACGTTCGTACGACCGTTTTCTTTTTACTCTCGCGCTCGGTTTCTTTCCACGTCGACGATTTCGGTGACGAATTCTGCCGCGTTTTCGAATTTTCAAACGTCGTCCTTAGATCTCGTGCACGATATTTCGAATATATATTGGCTATTCAAGCCACGAGGGGGAAGATTTAATATGTAGATTTCGCGTTGTCTTTGAGCTTGGATTTCGATGAGGTGGTATTTGGAGAGTAATTACAGTTGAAACCTTAGAGAATGGAGAACCGTCTTGGGTTTCAGGTCCTTGTACGGGGCCCTCCAGAGTCTCATATTGTCCTTTGATCCTTGTTAAGGTTAATTTGGAATTTAATTCTTCATCGGATTGTGCGAGATACAAGAGTCTCGCGAGACGTTTATTTAATTCCTATGTTTTTTTGCGAGGATATAAATTCTCAAATGGAATCTATTATTAATCTCTCGAGGGATGAATTTATTAAGAGTGTTAGAATAGGATATTTGTATCTTCATGAATCATGAAACTTGAATCAAATGTTTATATTCTTGAACTACAGACATTTGTATCGATATTTCTTCTTGGAAGAGATTCCAAAGCAAACTTGAAATTAATTTTCAAGAAAAACAATTTGAATCAATCGAATTCTTCTAAACTTCTCCCAGTTTCGAATAAATATGTAAGTACGATGAAAAATATTCGAAAATCAAATATCCATTCGTTGAAATGAATGTATATTTAAATTAACATTTCTTCTAATCTGAATTGTCAGCGTATATATATAAACAATCGGCGAATTTGCGTAATCGCGTGCTGCTCGATAATGCAAAGCATATGAAATCGTTACTGTTTCGATATTTACCGACGACATTTCCACAGTCAGATAATTGAAACGCTTTTAAATACGAAACTTCGATTTAATGAACGAATATCATCGCATTATCATCCCGATCGTGTTTCGATAATCGATGCCTCACGGTTAATAAAACGGGGACGGCTCATTTCACAAGCGAATATAAATTTTGACAAAGGAACCGCCGCTCCAGTAATTTTCTAAATTGGACCCCTCTTCGGCTTTCGGGTTTGGCTTTTCGAAAAGCGGCATTCGTCCTAAAAGAGGATGACTCGCCACTTCTTTCTGTTCAATTGTTCGCACGTTGGATCGTATTGGGGGTCGATACCAGGAAATATACCGTTAGAGGAGGCAAATTAAACACTTGTCGCACGGTTAACCGGCAATTTTCATAAAGGAGAGCCGCCATCGAGGATACAATTTGGATGGTTGCAAATAAGGAGGGGATCCCTTCGAAGGACACGGTCGTTTGTCGGTGCAGTCCTATATACCGTTGAAACCCGGTGATTTGCACAGGTTTGCGTTTCAGATCAGAAAGGGATGAATGGGTCTTCCGTGATTTCTCACGCGTATTTCATTATGTGTGATTTCAATTTATTACACGCGTCGATTGGTAAATTTTATTTTTTTCTTTTCAAGACGTAACAATTCGAGCCTATAATATGTTATTCAGATAAAAATTATTAGATGATATAGAAAATTGGTGTATAATTTTCATCCAAATTATTTTTTACAATTAGTCGAAATGTAAAAAATATCAAAAAAATATTTAAATTATTAATATTATGATAACAATAGCGACGTCATATGTATCGCGGGAAGAATCGTTGTTCTTTCGAAATTCTCAAATTCTCAATTTCCCAATTTTCGTTCATCTATCAATCTACGCAATCACTTATCCTTGCAGGCTCACACAATCGCCGGTAAAATAAATCGCATACAAATCGTTAATAGAATAAGGATCCTCGTCTTTTTCACGCGATTCATTTACATCCCTTTTAATATTCGGCCAACGATTCGGCGAATTTGAGGCACGTTCTGCGTGCTGCACTGTTGGCGTGCCAAGGCTCGCGGAAACGTCGTCGTCGACAACGAGGACGACTGGTGCTCGGGATGACGACGACGGGGTTGGCCCGAATTCGTGAATGAGGATCGTTGTCGGGAAAGCGCATTAAAATTCCAAGAATATTCATAAAGGGCGCGAGAGGAGAGCGTGGACGCGGGCGTGAGCGAGACGAACGTCACAAAAGATGGGGCGCTTCCTGTCTTTTTTCCCCGTCCTCTTCGAATGCAACTGACGTTGCATTCGGCGGAGTGCATATCTGGCGCAATCGAATTCGACCCATTGTCGACCGAAACCATCCCCTTTCGACGCCTCTTATTGCGCTTATAGGGGAGGATCGGGTGAAGAGAGGATCGTTAAGGTCCAATCTCAAGCTCCCCTCGAGCTGACCGCCGAATAGTTGCACGCGCGTCGATGCATTTACATGGAAATCTCGAAATCCACCCTCTCCTCCCCTCCACTCTCCCCTGCCCCGCTCCATTACATTCCGCGCATTATGACGTTTCCTCGCCCCATCCACCTCGTGACCTCTGTTAAGAATCCTTGGAATTTTGTTCTTTCCTTTCGAGGCACGCCGGTTTCTCGTTTTAATCTTTGATTTTGCGAGACAAGGGCGGATTTATCCGAGGCGAGTTTTGAATTTCATTTTTATGATAATAATAATAGGATAATTGGAAATGATAAAGTAGGAAGGAACTCTTGGGTGTAGGTGAAATAGGGGTGGTTTTTTTTATGAAAAGTTAGATTTCCTTTTTTAGAAAAATGTTTGATTAAGTGGAAGATATAGATAGAAATCTTTTGTAGATAGATATTTTGAATGGAAATCGAATTCTAGCTGCGTGTTACACGGTGAAAGATACACAAGAACAATGAAATTATATAATTCACAAGAGATCTTTTAAAAAATTCCGAATACATTTAAAGAACGAAAGGGAGAGAGAAAGATTGTCAAACCGCTCCGTGAAAAAAAAAACTCAGCATTTTTCGTTTTTTAAATTTCAATATTCCCAAAATATCCGAAGGGAAAGCGCCTCTTGACACTTTTCCAAGCTTAGTATCGTTCCGCGCTTTAACTACACCCTAAACTCTTCCAAGCCGAATTTCCCTGGCAGCCTCGTACGCGCGACGTAAACCGACGATCCAAGGGATCCGAAAGCGTTGAATGTGAAAAAAAAAAAAAGAAAAAAAAAAAAAAAGAAGAAATACCATTCAACGACGCAACCATTTTTCGAAAAAGCGGACTGGCGAAAAACCAGGACGCGATTACAACGAATGCATAACGTCAGCAAGCGTCACATAGGGGGTTGAAGCCGGGATAGAGAAGAGTTGGAAGAGGGAGTGGGGGGGAAAAAAAAAGAAAAAAGGACAGGTCTATCGTCTCGTAGCAGCGGCAGACTGCAATGGGCGTGCAATCGCTGCTGGAACTTGAATACGAGCCCTTGCACGCGCGAGAAAGGAAAATCAGCAGAATGGGATTCGTGCGAGGGAGAGACGTCTGTCGAGAGAGGGAGGGGGAAGAACGTGTGAAAAGGGCGAAAGATGGCGCCATCGGGGTGGATGGGATTGGTGGGCACGAATTGTGGCGCGATCGAGTGAAATTTCACGTGTTAACGTTTTCAAGCTATCCGTTGTCAATATGCGGCTGATATTTCGCCGATGCGTGATGCGAATCTCGTGATAACGAGTTTTTAACCCGGCTCTTCTATCAATCGCGCTATCTGGAAGCGGAGAGGCGTTCATTAAGAGTTGAATAGGGATGGAAAATATGTTGGGGATGTATTTTCGTCGAACGAGAAAATATTTCTTGCGAAGGATTTTATCGTTGCAGTATATGAAATAAATATTTTAGAGAGAGAGAGAAAGAGAGTTAATAATTTATTCTTTTATAGAGAAGAAATGATTTGTGTTAAGTAAACACGTTAATTACGCGTTGAGTTTCTTTTGAACGAAGGTGCTTTGTATTATAGGGGCGGAGAAAAAAATTCTTCGTTAAATCAAACTCGAATCGTGACCAGAGAATCGTTTTCTCCGGAAGATTCGATGTTTGAACTGATGGTACCGATGGTTCGTTTAAGACTTTGATTTAAAAAGGTCGGAGCCTCGCGTTGAATTTCGAATGGATCGATAAGCTTCGCCAATATCTGACGAACTTTCGTTTCTTTTTTTTTATTTTATTTTTTTTTTTTTTATTTAAATTACTAATTAGTACACGCCAGTAATGCTTTTGTGCGCTTTTTGGACGACGTGTTTCATTTTTCTACCCTTTAATTTCTACCCCGTGTACATTCTGTATATTCACGAATCGTTAACGCACAAAGTAATCTCGCTCACTCGTTGATCAATCGAGTTTCAATCCAGGACGGAAAATTCCCCTTCTCATTATCCGCAATCGCGGAATTTCCATCCAAGAAACGGCATTCATTTCTTGGATTCAATGCGTTTCGAACTGGACTTTAATGTATCGGCCCTCCCTTTAATTTTTCTGTTCTTGAGCGAAGAACGAGTCGAGTAACTTTCTTTTAAACGTAGTGCAGAATTTCAATTAATTACTTGTCACTATTGAGGATAGTTTTAATTTTAGAAACGTGTAAGAAAATATTTCTTCTTTTCCGAAGTTTCATCTTTAAAAAAAAAAAAGAAAAAATAATAATTAATTAGAGAAAGAGGTATAAAAAGAATTTAAAAAGAAAAAAAAAACATTTCGTGTTCAAAGTGAGAATAAATTTCCATTGGAGATTTCTGTCTCTTCCTTCCGAAATATTAATTAGTACTGTTTGAAATCGTTCTGCCGTTTTATATTTTTCTTGTAGAGAATGTTTTTTTTACATTTTTCTCTTACGAAAGTCGCGAGTTCCCGTTTAATACGAATCTCTGGAATCGAAGGAGAAACTTTTGCAGTAACCCAATCCTATTGTCCTATTTAATAATCGATGAAATAGTCATAATAGCGGGTGAAATCAAATTAAATTCACTTTAATCGATTCAAATAGAATTTAAATTCAATCAGTAATAACGTTCTCCCACATCTCCTCAATGCTAAAATTTAATATTCTCCGAATTTAAATCCTTGATTTAATATTTTCCAAAAATCTAATTTTCCGTTAATATATTCTTTAATTCAATTTTTCTTTCTTTTAAGATCAATCATTCAAGATTAATCACAGATTAAAATAAAAAAAAGCAATAATATTGCAAAAGTGATAAGACAATTTCACGAATCAATAGTTTTGAAAGGTACAAAGGGAATAATTCAAAAATCCGCAAAAATATCGTCAAAAGACATTGCAAAAAAAAAAAAAAAAAGAAAAAAATATATAGTCAACAGAATGAGTTGTATGTACATAGAACAATTTTTTTCAGTGGAAAATCTCTTTGAAGAACTGAGATCAAACTTCAGAGTTTCGGTATTTTTTCGTGTTTTGAATACAATTTTGCCTGGGAATATTTTTTTTACAACAATCCAGCGATAAAAAAAGAAAGTACTAAAACCCGAACTGAAATTTTATAACATCAAATTTCACTTTATCTCGCTCCGTTATAAAGTTACATTTCAAAAAAAAGAAAAGGAAAACATCGAAACATCTCAAAGATCGATTTATCCCTCCAATATATTCCACACACAATCCATTCTGTCTTACTTAATCATATAATAATTTCATTGAAAATTGAATTTCCTTTAATTTTACAACACAACTTAATTTGCATCATCTAACCTATACGATGACTTTTCTGATCTAGGATGCTAGAAGGCAAAAGACGTGAATGGCATAGCCATCACATTTTTACACTCAATTCCATACGGTTCACGACATTAATCAATTGAATTTCATAGTTCAATCTCATTCATTCAATTCGATTGGTCATCATTCTAGTCTCTCTCGTTCATCTTTCCTTATCTCTCTACCTATCTGTCTACCTATCCATCTATCTAACCGATTTTCTTTCGTTGCAAGGTGACGGTGGCGGGAACGAGCAACGTGGGACCGCACGGAAGAGGAGGTGGGAAGGGGGATTGCGTGTGTCCCTTCGCAGCAGGGTTGTCGAGGAGGCGGGACAGAGGGTGGCGGGAATCGGCGGGCAGGAAGAGTCGCAGGAAGTGGCTTGGAGAGAGGGTGGCGCGAGAAGGGAGGAGGTTTGGAGGAAGGAGGAGAACACAACGCAGGCTGTGTGTGTTTGTGTTGAAGGAGAAAACGGGAAGAACGTCGTTGAAAAGAAGAGAAACGGGGGAGAAAGTGTGCGGGGGAAAGAGGAATAGAGAGGGGTAGGGACGTGTGTCGTTGACGTGATTACGAGTGACGTGACGTGACGTGACGTGACGTCGAGGCGTCGAGATGCTCCTGGATGAGATGGCCGCCTCCGTTCACACGCTGCTGTCACTGCTTCTCGTCCTCGGTGGTTGTACGCTGTGCAACGGCAGGATCACGAATCAGGAGATAGGTGAGTGGAAAAATACTTTGCTACTTCTAGAATTCGAGAAATCCTCTTATTCGCGCCGTACGCCTTTGACGTGTTTCATTTCTACGCTGCTAAAAATTTCGAATCGCTAGTTTCCAATATGAACTTGATAATTCGAAGAAAAAGTTATTTTCTTAACCGAAGAGATTCTCCAATCGAACATCTATTTGGATTAAAGACAATTTTTATTGACAGTTGTAACAGCGTTAATTTAAATGAATTAATTTGAGGTGTCGTAAAAAGTTGGAAATATTTTAGAATCTGGTACAAAGGAGCAAATTTTAACTTACTGTTTCTATAAATCAATGAAGTTAATCATAGAGCTCTTCTTTATTTTTTATAGCTGTTTAATGATATTTTAGAAATTTTCATTTGAGGATGATATATTAAATTAGGATTTTGGTCGCGAGAAATATGTAACTAATAATTTTCGTGTATAGATCTTGATGGTATTTCGAGTGTATAAATTCTTGGAAAATTTGAACAGGATGTTTCCAATTAAAACTATCGTAGTATATCTTCTCGTACTCTGATTTTGAATCGTGTCGGGTTTAATAGCGTTAGAGAAATATTTGAGAGTAAATTAAGTGAATTTAATATATTTTAACTCGAGATATTAACTTAAAATATATTTTATATTTATAATTCGTTTTATAGTAGTAGTTGAAATATCGATGAACTTTTTCGATACTTTTACTTGTAGATTTCCATGCAATGACCTTTAGACAATCTAAGATTACAGAGTTCTTGTATAATAAGTTAAGATATTCATTAGAATGTAATTTATTTATATAAAGTTTATAACTTCCTCGCCTGTGTTTCCAATTCAGTTTCAAATTCTCTCTCTCTCTCTCAACATTAAATCATTCAAGGTCATTGCAATTTCTTGGATACGCGAATCAAACTTACTTCTCTTGTACTATTTCACTTTTTCAATCGTGAAAACAATATTTTTATAAGATTTTTAATTTAGGAAGAAGTTATAACCAGGCAGAGAATGATTTTTATATTGAGTCAAAAATTGTTAAATTGTTTTTAAAAAACAATTATTAAATCACAGTCAAAAGATATGACTTTTTTAATAAAAATCTAACCGTTGAAAAATTACAAATACTCATAATAATAATATTCATCCCCCCACGAGTTGTTTTTCATTTCTCAAAAATCCTTTTCTACCAAACTTTCTCGCGTCATTAATCTCGATGCATTAATTCAATATCCGTAAAAATCAGCGCGAGAAATTACGAACGACGACAACCTGTGGCTTCCTAGCTCGTAGCTTCATTCGCCACGATCTCGGGGGTAAATAATTAACCGAAAAACCAACTTCGAATAATAGCTACGCACTTTGATACCGTACCTAATTAATTGTGTGTGATACATATTCCCATCGTTGCTGGTGTTATTTCTCGCTTATACAGCGTTTATAATTGTGTCAATTGGACCGATGTGGTACAAGGATGTTCAAAAAAATTTCACCCTTTCTTTTCCATCTATCTTTTTCCACCTCACGAGTACATAGCTGATTAATTAGCAAACGTAATGAATGTATCCCACTCTTTTATATCCTTCCTCTTTCATCCAATGGGTTTAATTTAAATCGTTTTATACATGTATTAATTTATTCCAATCCGTTTCGTATTTGCTCGCGAAATTATAGGTAAATACGTCATATTTTTTCTTTCTTTTATTCAACGGAAGTGGAGGAATCGTTCGTTTGATAATTCAATTGTAAGGGTGAATCGTGAAGAATACCACGTTCGTGTGAAATATCAGAGAAATATAATAGAGGAGAAGTATGACGTTTCTTCTTTCTTCTTTTTCTCTTTCTCAAAAAGACGAGAAAGAAAGGTGAATTAAATATCGACTCGAAGACGGTAGTCTGTTACCTGTAACAATGAGATACAGGATTTAGCAAAATTTTTAATAGTTTATTTTATGTATATATATATATAAATCTGCGGGCAATGCAACGAGGAAATACAGATTCTCTTCCCCGTGGGGATTATTTAAATTCACTTTTAACCAAATTGGACGCAAATTCGAATTTATATTTAATTACTCCACGCGGAATAATGTTGCGTAAATATGTTTGGTAAATGAACGAATTTTGCACCTGGATGTTTTTTAATTTATAAAAACACGTGAGAATTGTCGAAGAAAAGTTCTGAGAGGGGAATTTTAGAGAGGGGAAAAGAAAAAAACGATATTGTACTCGCGATACCACGAGGATAAATTATGCCGTAGCACTGGTGATAAATCTTCCTAGTAACGAATGTAGTACACGGTACCGATACAGCGTAGCCGTGCATAAATTTAAGCGTTAAGTGATGACATCCATTAATATAACCACAAGGGATGCATGCGTTGTAACGAGGCCCTTTGATTCATGTTTCCGTTTATTAAACGTGCATCTCAGAGTTCAAGGTCATTTCAATCCAATTTCAAGGCCATTTCAATCCAGTTTCAAGGCCATTACTACCATAGATCGTTGAACCTCGCCTAGACATCAATGTTACAAGAAAATTCCATTTCCATCTTTTTCGTGTCTTTTTTCGTTCTTCATCCATTAAAAAAGGAAACAGAAGAGAAAAATAGAGAATGAAAATTAAAAATCATTCCAACAAAAATCAATACGCATTGCACTGCAAAAAAAAAAAAGACCTGCGTAAAATCTGTAATTCAGAATTATAAAAATTTTAAAACTGCACGATAACAAGGAAAACAAATGTCTACATCGCGAATCCGGGATTTTCATAAATACTTAAAAAAATGTCTGCTTTATTCAAAAATTTCCTCGAAACAATATTTTCCCTGTTTGTTAATTCAAACGCTCTCGCGAATTACAAGCCAGCAGGAAATTACCACCCAGCTACCTGAATCGTAGCTGAAAGCGTTAAATTTTCTATGCGCGAAACAGCACACGCCACGATCGTTAATAACTCCTCCCCTCTAGCCCCCTCCCCCCGTGTTTCGCAGAAGTTGAAAACTCCCTCGCTCGACGAAGACATATCCGTGACAAATCTGTTGCAACGATTCGAAGGCTACAAAGCGGATCGAATGGAATCGACGCGGGCGCGCGGTGACGTTTGCGGTCGGAGTGAAATTCGCAGGATCAAAGGCGGTTTTCGCGTCCCCGGGGATACGCTCGATTCGCTCGTAACGTCATTTGCCAAACAATCGGGCCTCCAACGTCGAATACGGCTCCGTTTCGGCGCGGATTCGCGGCGAAACGAGCGCTATCCGAGGCACCACGTGGCCTCGTTAGAACCGCAATGGGATAAACGAGTTAAAAACCTCCTTCCCCCCCCGCTCATTTTCGCTCGCGAGCAACGAAATTACGCGGTCGGTGTACGCTGCGGTTTTTCCCGCACTATAGACGATTCAATTTCGCGCATTAGCCGCGAATTACCGCGCGATACCCGCTGTCAATAAAGCGGAAAAGAAATTAACCCTTTCTTTACGCACCGAGAGGACGTTCTCTTTCGAATTATTCGAGGTTTTTGTTTTTTTCTTTTCTTTTTAAATAGGATAGTTTTAGAACGGCGTAAGAATCGTATTTTTTAGTGCGTAAGTAATATATGATTGGGATGAATGCGATTAATAGATTTATTATATTATAGCTTTGAGAGGTTGATCGATAGACGGTATACATTACGTAAATGTCTGCCAAAAATGGAGCACAAATATATATATATATATATATATATATATAAGCTAATAATAAAAGAGTTAA